CTTTTGTTTATGTGGTTTTATTTGTCTCTCTTTTTGTAACATCTTTTTTCTGTGTACTGTATTTTTCTGCACCTTTGCTTTTATTAAAAATAATCTTTTAAAATCAATAAGCTTATCTCTACCTTCTAAATAAGAACTCAAGTGAGTTCTGTGAAGATCGCTACCATATTGTAAAACCTGTAATATTTCTGTCTGAAGAAACAGTGGGCTGTAACACACCAGGCCCACCTGGTCCGGGGGTGTGTGGATCTCAGCCTTGGATAAGGTGAGGATGTATGGCCGAGATCCTTTGCGGGTCAGTGTTAGCTGTTTGATCAAGGAAATAGGTTATTCAGTTAAATGGGTTATTAGGTAACTGATGTAGTTCAATTAGATAGCAGCTATGTAGATATCATTCAATGGAATATCCGCTAATTGATGTAGCACAATAGGAAACTGGCAATTGATACAGTTCAACAGAGTAATTGCTGATTGATATAGCACAACAGGAACTGGCAATTGATACAGTTTTCAGAAGAGTAATTGCTGATTGCTATAGCACAATAGGAAACTGGCAATTGATTAACTACTTGCAGTTTTAGTAGGTTGTGATCCTACAGTGTCCTCCAGTGGTGGTTTGAGGAATATCCGGCTGATTCCATCCTTCAGAAGTGGTGAGGGGAGATTTGTAGGAGTCCGTGAGAGCGAGGCACTGAGAGACAGTAGTCAGTGGGTGAGGAGAGAGCATTAGTCCGGCCCAACAGAGTGGAGGCTCAAGCTTGCTGATGGAGGATCTTGCCTGGCGTCAACGAACGCCAGGCAAGTGAACCCGTCGGTCTAAGTAGAGGAAAGGGGAGGATCCGCGTGACGTCGATTCCAGTGACGTCGCGGTACCTCCGACGGAACTGCGGGAGGCGCCGTGTGCGAAGGACGGGTGAGTCCGTTACATGGGCATGGAGTCACTACAATAGCTTGCTTTTTTTCATGAAATAAATGCACTCTGATGTTGATTTTTTTAAATTAAAAGCTGTCTGGTCTTGGTCCTCCTCAAACGCAGCCTAGTGAAAGTGCTTTCATACTGTGCATGTAGTCACTACAGTGTTTTGGTGCTTTTTTAAATTAAATAAAGAAATATACATTACATTCAAAGTCAGTGATATTATAGTCAATTTTTTTAAGTTATGAATGCTGATGAAATAACGTAAAATGGATGCTATTCTTTGATGTTTCAAAGTTTTAGTTTCATGCAGAATCAGCTTGTCCCCTGAGCACTGGCTCTGATATCCTGCTTTAGAGTGGCTAATCTCCCTTGCAGAGTCATATGGAGCCATCCTTGTATGTGCTAGCAAGCTACATGTGTTTCCACAGACACAGCAGGGCCACCCGACCCCCCCCCTTTTCTCCCCTCCCCTCTCCTCCCCTTGCCTTCTCCATTCTCCAAGCTAGTAGAGTTTGCAGACTGTGCTGACCCTTGTGATCTTGTACTGGCCAGGAAGTTCAGGAAATCCGTTTAGAGATTTGGAGCCAGCTGTTCAGAAACATGATGACTGTACTTTACTGTTGATTTTTGAATAAAAGCTGGCTGTTGTGTGTCCTGTTCAAAATCTTACGTAAAAGTGTTTAAATACTTTGCACATAGTAGATGCCATATTTGTTTTATAATTTTTTTGCATTAAGCAGTATGGGTCCTGTTCAATATGTAGCCTAGTGAAAGCACTTAAATATTGTTTACAGAGTCACTACAATATTTTTGTGTTTAGAGTAAAAAATACACTTGAATGTAGATTTTTATACATCAAAAGCAGACCAGTATTGGTCTTCTTCAAAATGTGGCCTAGCAAATGTGCCTATATACTTTGCACATAGTCACTATAATATTTTAATGGTTTTTATAGTAAAATAAATACACTCTAATATTATTATTTTTTATGTTAAATGCTGACTGGCATTGATCCTTTTCAAAATGTGACTTAATAAATGTGCTAAAATTCTGTGCATATACAATTTTTATGTCTTTTTTTCTCTGAAACAAATGCACTCTTATGCTGATTTTTTTGAATAGACATTGGCTGATGTAAGTCAGGTTTAAAATATGGCCTAGTAAAAGTGCTTAAATACTGTGCACACTACAAACATTGGTTGTCTTTTTTCAGTAAAATAAAACACTTGAATTTTGATTTCTTGATTAAGAAAACTGCCTGGTGTCTTGCTCTTGAACTGTGACCTACTAAAGCTACTTACATAGTAAGTATTGAGTTTCTGTTTTTTCTGTTAAATTAAACACTCTAACTTTGAATTATTAAATATAAACCTGCCTGTTTTCTTCCTCTTAAATTGTGATGCTGACTGGCATTGATCCTTTTCAAAATGTGACTTAATAAATGTGCTAAAATGCTGTGCATATACAATTTTGATGTCTTTTTTTCTCTGAAACAAATACACTCTTATGTTGATCTTTTTGAATAGACATTGGCTGATGTAGGTCAGGTTCAAAATATGGCCTAGTAAAAGTGCTTAAATACTGTGCACACTACAAACATTGGTTGTCTTTTTTCAGTAAAATAAAACACTTGAATTTTGATTTCTTGATTAAGAAAACTGCCTGGTGTCTTGCTCTTGAACTGTGACCTACTAAAGCTACTTATACAGTAAGTATTGAGTTTCTGATTTTTTCTGTTAAATGAAACACTCTAACTTTGAATTATTAAATATAAACCTGCCTGGTTTCTTCCTCTTAAATTGTGATCTTATAAAAAAGCTTACAGGCTGTGGAGCTACTTCGTATAATATTTGTGACTGTTGCCTCTGAAATAATACACTGTATTTTTTATTTATAATTTGTAATGTATTTTTTATAGAATTTTTATTTTCTAAATAAAACATAATGACATGTACATGGGAACCTCTACTAAGTCTATGGCAAAATCGTCCTGCACATCTATAAATCTGAGTCATTAACAGCTTCATACCTGGATCTTCAGACTGATTTTGAAATGCTACACTGCCCACAGATAAACTGGTTTACTTCCATTTACCTGTCAAAAGAGCATCTGTGAGCAGGGCAGCCTTCAGAAATTTTGGGGCCCTTACACGGCTTTAAGCTGCCCCCCCCCCCCCCACTGCCGCCACACAATGACCCCCCCCCAGTCACATCAGTCTCTGTACAGAGGAGCTTACACTTTTATTTACCCCCCACAGTCACATCAGTCTCTGTACAAAGGAGCTTATACTCTAATGTTCCCCCACATTTACATTACCCGCTGGACTCAGGGCTTCGTGACCCACTGGACTCAGGGCTTCGTGACCCGCTGGACTCAGGGCTTCGTGACCCGCTGGACTCAGGGCTTCGTGACCCGCTGGACTCACGGATAAGTGAGGTGCTGGATACTAGAAATGTGCACGGGCAAAACATTTGCTTAGTTTCATTTTGTTTTGATACGGATTTTGCGTTATTTTGTTTTGGGATTCGGACGAAATTCGTTAGCTGTAGTCTGTACGAATGTTCATTTCCGTTTCATGTTCGTATAGTTTGTTTCATTTCTTTTTTTTTCAAATGTCACTTTGCTGCAGACTACCGCTAACGAATTTCGTCCGAAAAACAAATTTTCCGAAACGAATCACACATGTCTACTGGACGCAGGGCTTAGGCTTAGGGTTAGTTCACACCATAAGCAGTGTGTTCCGGGCTGAGTGACCTGCTGGACGCAGGGCTGGGTGACCCACTGGACTTAGGGCTTAGTAACCCGATGGACGCAGGGCTTAGTGACGCGTTGGACGCAGGGCTTAGTGACCCGATGGACTCTGGGATTAGTGACGTGCTAGACTCTGGGATTAGTGACGCGCTGGACGCAGGGCTTAGTGACCCGATGGACTCTGAGATTAGTGACCCGATGGATGCAGGGCTTAGTGACCTGCTGGATGCAGGGCTTAGGGATGCGCTGGACGCAGGACCCACCGACGCGCTGGACACAGGACCCACCTGAGAGTGACCCTGCATGGTGACTATGGTGGGCTCTGAAGGGGTCTCAGGTGGGCTGGTCAGGGCTGCATACCCCTCCCTCCCAGCTCCTCTTACCTGCACACCAGGCCTCCTCTCCCGCCAGACTGACCGGAATAGGGCGATTAGGATCTTTATCTCTATCACCCGAATCACTATTTTGCTGGAGAGGATACAGTGGTGAGATGTTTGTCCTTTTAAATAGATATTACTCTATTAAAGTCCTTACGTTTAGCTGGTGTGTTATCATACCTTGATGATGAAGCAGGCAAGTTGGGTTCACTGAAGCTGAAATAATTTCTCATCCGGGCTCGATCACTGACGAGCCTGCAAAAATATGAGAATGGAGGAAAAGATACGTTATAGTCTCTTTTGTATTTTGAGCCCTGTTGCGCCCATTTCTCTTGCAGGCCGTATGGCAGTTTAGACACCACTGGATTAAAGGAGAACTATGAGGTGAGTGCTTTTTACTCACCTCATAGTTCTAGCGGACCTGTGACAATGAAACTGTCACAGGTCGGCTCAGCAGATCGGGAGGTGAGCGAACACATACCGGCGTTCGCTCACCTCTCGATCCTGTCACGGCTCTCTGGATTCCCCTCTCCCCGCTCCGATCTGCCAGCGCTGACTGGCGGAACGGATGGGGGAGGGGACGCATACAGCTGGCTCTGCCTCTAGATAGGCAGAGCCAGCTGTCAGTCACGCAGCTGGGCGGATCCCGGCACAATAACCGGGGTCCGCTTCAGCTGCGGCGTCTCAGTATACCGCGAGCGGCAGCTCGCGGTATACTGAGCCTAGGGTGACGGGAGGACGCTATAGTCTCTTTTGTATTTTAAACCCTGTTGCGCCCATTTCTCTTAAAGGCCATATGGCAGTTTAGACATGAGCGGTGTCCAGGAAGCTTAGTCCAGGTAGACGTGGGTCTGTCTTTGCCAACTCTAGCTCCATGAAGAGATCACTTAGTTCTTGAAGTTTGCGATGATCTTTGTTACCTATTTTTTGAAAGTTTTGCAGTCTTTAGAGCGTTTTCTATGGCTTCAGAGCTGCCATAGGTTTGTTCAAGTCTTGCCCATGCAGCAGCAAGACCTGCATCTGGGTAATCACCATGTACTGCTTTCGGTCTTATAACACGATCTGCAGATTCTGGTCCCAGCCACCTTATGAACAAATCAAGTTGAATGCCGCAGGGTTAAACAGACATCAGGATACAGCAGATGAATGAATAGATGGTATTTGATGGTCGGAGATAATAATGTTTCCAAGCATGCCATGCAGGTTAACCTGTGGTCATGTTACTGTCAGCCATGACACTAGAAACAACTAGTCTCATAAAGAAAGGGGAAATACATCATAGATGGGAGGGATTACGTACAAGTGCAATAACCAGAATGACCACAAAATGTCAGTATATGAATAAGCCATACAATATCAATGAGCAAATGGCTTCAGGAAAATAAACGAAATAAATTCTAATTTTACATTAATGTGAATATTAACTATGACTGTTGTAACAAGGACATTCCACTGTAGTCCAGGTAAATCAAGTAAAATGCAGTTTACTAAAGGACAAAACACAAAATAGCTTGCAGCAGCAACATCAGAGAGTCCTTTATATGGCTCAGTAGCTTTCCTCATGAGCCCTCGCTCTGCTCTCTCAGCAGTGTGTCCCAGCGGTCCTAGGGTCACCGACCTTCCTGACCTCTCCCAGCCTTCCCTGGCTGTTCCTTATGTCCCACACGCACCTGAGTCTGCTGTGGCTTTGTGCTTCCTGCACCCACACAACTCCAACACTCCCCTCTGAACTCTGGTCCAGACTCCTAATAAGGCTGCTTTCAGCCACCTGATCCAGCTATACTGGTCATTGGTAACACCTGGCCCCAGGACTGGAGATCTCATCCCACCCAGAGCTCTAAGAGATCTCCAGAGCGCCAAATCCCAGCTACAATTAGGAAAACCTGGAAGGACCTTTAAAGCCAGGCGCTTCCTTATAACATTGTTAAAAGGTATGGTGGATCACAGCTGCGGTTCCAACTGTTGTTTAGTAAACAAATAAATCTGCGCTTCTGGAAAAATAAAATTTAGTAATAAATTAAATGAATTAAATTAATAAAGTAAGAATAAATGTGAATAATTATACCCCAAGCTGCTCTGAAAAAAGGTGGAACCTAGTATGATCAAAAGAAACAAAGCGCTAAAGGTAGCTGTATGAGCAAAAGAATAAGCTATAATTGATTAGGGGGCCAAGGCTTACTTCCGCGTTCCAGCTTGGAACGCACAGTAGCTTCCGTCATGGCTGAGGAGGCCTGCGGCGGTCTCCCCGGCCGATGTGTTCCAGCCTGGAACGCAGTCGGGGGGAGCCGCGAACCCGAGGGACATTACAGTACCCCCTCCTTAAGGGAAGCCCTCCGGGGTTCCAAGAAGGTGACGGCTTGGACGGATACCTGTTATGAAACCTTCTCTTCAGAAGGGGAACATGTACGTCTTGATCACTCTCCCAAGAGCCCTCCTGAGGACCATAACCCTTCCAGCGGATGAGGTATTGCAAGGTCCTACCACGTCTTCTGGAGTCGAGAACCTCGTCGACCTCGTACTCGATCTCCCCCTGTACCTCCACGGGGGGTGCAGGTTGAGGAGCCCTGGTAGGGAAAGGGTCAGCCCTGAATGGTTTAAGTAACGAAACGTGCAATGACGGGTGGTCTCCTTGGATGAGGGGAGTTTTCTGAGGGGAATGAAATGAGCCATCTTAGTAAGGACGTCTACCGTTACCATGATGGTGTTGTGACCCTTGGAGTTAGGCAGCTCCAATGGGTATTAACGGAAGAGGGTAGCGATTTTTCACTGTGACTTTGTTGAGAGCTCTATAGTCGATAATGGGTCTAAGTGAGCCGTCCTTGTTCTTCACGAAGCACATTCCCGCACTGGCTGGTGAGGTGGAAGGTCTGATGAACCCCTTCTTAAGGTTGTCTTCCAGGTAGCTTTTGAGGTGGAGTAGTTCGGTTTCGGAGAGAGGGTATATCCTGCCAGTGGGGATAGGGCTTCCTGGGATCAGGTCTATAGGGCAGTCATACGGCCTATGTGGAGGTAGGGACTCCGCCAACCGCACACTGAAGACCTCAGCGAAGTCCTTGTACTGAGGTGGGGCATCATTGTCGGTGACGGATAGCAGAGGTGTTACAGGATAACAAGTCACCGTGCAATAATCAGACCGTAGTTGGAGAGTCTGTTCCCCCCATCTTTTAGCGCCTCTGAAAGCCCGAGACGAAACTGATTGCACAGACTAACGTCAGTCCATTCAGTCTCCCTGGACCACCTGGTGAACTCAGCGACGTAGTCTTCTACTGGTCTCCTTCCTTGTTTCAGTGACCTAATGGTGGTCTCGGCGGTCTCGGCGGTCAGCTGTTTTGTGGAGTCTTCATATAACCGTGACATGTTCTCCAGGAAAGCAGGGAAGGAGTTCAGTATCGTAGCCTCTTTCTCCACATAAGTATCTGCCCAGGCTCTGGGCTCGCCTCTAAGGTAAGAAATTAAGGTGAGAACTTTAACTCTATCAGTGGGGTAAGTCCTGGGTTGCAGTTCAAACAATAATTTGTTGGCGTTAATGAACTCCCTGAATCTGCGTCGGTCACCAGTGAAGACATCTGGAGGGCTGACCTTGGTTTCGGGCAGCTCCCTGGTGGGGGCCGGACTGGCAGGGATTTGGGAGCGTAGGGTCTGGTTTTCATGGCGGACGGCTTGCACAGTAAGCATCAGCGCTTCGACTTTCTGGGCGAGGGCCAATACGTAGGTGGTTAGTTCCGCTGGATCCATAATGTTTTAAGGTTCGATGATTCTGTCAGGGCCCGTCCTTGGAAAAGGTATGGTGGATCACAGCTGCGGTTCCAACTGTTGTTTAGTGCGGGTGTAAGGCTAAAATCCCAGGCGGCTCTCTCAATCACAAACGGAGAGTTTGGGATTTAGTCATCATGGACCGCTAACCAATAATCAAATAATAAAAGGCGAAGTAGTTCAAAGAATATTAATTCATATTCCCCAGTTTGGCAATCATATCTGGAATTGTGGTATAATCGGATAAGGCAGTCTCTATGTCAAATAATAGAAGCAATTCCCTTTAGACAGCATATGTGGAATTGTATTGCAGTGAAATGAGTTGATACCGTGAGTCTCCACTAGGGGGCAGCGTATATGAACCAACACAAGTGTAGAGTAGACCTTAGCAGATACTTGCGGTTTGGTTGTATAAGCGATCAGCTGCATTCAAGAGGAGTCCAGTGGAGGCTGGCTGCTGGGGATATGTTAGGATCCGTTTGGAAAGGTTCGAGGCAGGTTGGTGAGGTTCCTGGAGTGTTTGGGCAATGATCCCAATCATCGAACACCCCACAGCATTCCCGGCAGGTTTAAATAGCCCGCGGCCGTGACGTCACGCGGCCAAGGCTTACTTCCGCGTTCCAGCTTGGAACGAACAGTAGCTTCCGTCATGGGGGAGGAGGCCTGCGGCGGTCTCCCCGGCTGATGCGTTCCAGCCTGGAACGCAGTCGGGGGGAGCCGCGAACCCGAGGGACATTACAGGCCGCAATCAGAGTCCTACAGAAAAAAGGGAAGGATGTGTAGCCCTGTTTGGGGGGGTCCTTTGAGATGACCGTCTCAGGTCAACTACCGCTGCCAACCTGTGGGTAACTTGGAAACCCTGAGCCTCTGCTATGTGGGAGTAAAGGGGCTGTAATCAATTGTAATGGCAGTGCCTCCACCTAATTGGGCCTTGTGGTGTACAAGTGGGACCCCCAGATGGGATAACCTTGTCCTCAAGTGTAGTTACTCACATATGTCCTCTTGCAGTAGTAAGCAGATCGAGAGTCCATGAATGCCTTTTAAACTTTTATTGCAGAACTTGAAATAATGGTGATAGATAGACATGCTGGAATACCCGAAAATGCTGGTAATATAGTAGAGTCACTTCTTGTAAGGCGTACAGATCCTAGTGGAAGGTCCATCTTCTCCCTCTTGATAGGCCAGAAGTGTCTCCACTCCCACAGAGGTTCCAGTGTATACTCTGCTTCAGGACAGACTGTAGCCTGGACCAGTGGAGGTTCCTGTGGTGACTCCAGTGTCCCCATGACCTCTGTTCCGTGGGGTTAGACCTTGAGGTCCTAGCCCTCAGGCCTGGGCAGCTGCCCAGCACCTGAGCACCAACCTCCCAACAGGGGAGTGGCAGGAACAAGTCAACTCTAGTTCTGAGCATGCTCATGGGTTCTGATATAGCCAATCCCTCCTACTATGATGTTCACTACACTGATTGGTCACCACAGAACCACAGTCACATGATACCACTCCAGCACAGTACTCTGTCACAGCAAAGCCTGGTGGATGAAGCACATAGATGACTTATGAGCACACCCTACTAGTGGAAAGTAATAACTAATTTGAAAACCCGAATAGCACTGCTTTATTACAGGGGGTGTTAGGGGGTAGACCCCTACAGATGTACTACTACCAGAATCTCATAGACCTATATCTCTGTTGAGAGCAGATGTCAAGATTATCGCAAATAGGCTATCAAATATAATTCAAACGATAATAAATTCCGATCAAAGTGGCTTTATGCCTAATAAATCGACGGCTGATAATATAAAGAGAGTTTATCTAAATATACAAGTGCACACAGAACAAATAGGGAATAGAGCCTTGCTATCCTTCGATATTGCAAAAGCTTTTGATATCGTACAGTGGGATTATTTGTGGGCAATATCTACAGCGGTTGGATTTGGCCCTCGATTTATCTCGGCTGTTCGGCTTTTGTATGCTAGTCCATCTGCACGTATTCAAATGAATAAAGCGCTGTCTTCAGCTTTTAGGCTGACGAGGGGAACTAGGCAGGGATGTCCTCTATCGCCACTCCTATTTGCGCTAGCAAAAGAGCCATTAGCTAATTTAATAAAAAGCTCAAACAAGGTAGTGGGATTTAAATGCGGGGAGGAGGAAGATAAGATAATACTATATGCTGACGACACAATTATCTTTTTGGCGGATACTTATTCCCTGATAGGCGTTATGTCTATACTTTTGAATTTTAGGAAGTATTGAGGGATGGAGGTAAATTGGAACAATTCAAGGCTTCTCCCGAAAGATCCAATGACGGGCCCACTTCCTATACAATTGCAATATGTACAAATTGTGGATTAATTTGTATATTTGGGAGTTCGGATTAGAGCAAATAGTGTAAACTATGTGGAAGACAATACAATACCTCTTTTGCAGAAATTTAAGAAACAATGTAATACATGGTGTCCCCTGTCCCCGTGGTTAGACTTAGTCTCATTAAAATGATTTGGATGCCTCAGCTCTCTTATATACACTACATAATTCTCCATTCTCAAAAAAAATTTAGGAGGATAAATGCAGTTTTTAGAGAGCTGATATGGAGAAAGAAACGATCGCGTATAAGACTGTTGATTCTACAGTATCCTGGAAAGGGGGTATGTCACTGCTTAACTTGTGGAGATTTTTTTCTAGCTGCACAACTGAAACACCTTGTGGCGTGGCAGCGAGTAGGGCAAAGTCTAGGGGTTTACTCTATTATTAAACATCTGTTTCAAGAAAAAGATCCCCTAAGAGCCTTGGAGACAACGCTATATTTGAAGGAATTTTCATCTTTGCCCAGTCAATTAAAGGGTGGTTGAATATCCCTAGATTTGCAATATATACCCCATTATGGGAAAATAGAGAAGTAAGCAAAGTGGTTACATTGCAAGGCTTTGAAGTATGGAAAAGAGCAGGGATCTTGACAATAGCACAAATTTACAATCAAGGCATAATGCGAACATTCCAATCTCTAAAAAAGGAATATCTGCTGCCGAATTCACAGTTTTACAAGTATCTACAGTTGAGACATACGCTTACAGTACATCCTGGTAGCCATAATGTTTGTATTGGTTCAAGATAAACTTTTTAATATAACTGTGGCAAAGGAGATGATTTCAAGAATGTACTCCGCTCTTCTCTCAGGGTTGTTGTGTAATTCACCCCTAAGGTGTAGAGAGGGGTGGGAAATTGATTTGGGTCCAATAGAAGACAATATATGGGTGCAGGTACTGAGATCAACTCAATTGGTCTTGCCGGCTGCCCCCCATATGTTGACACAACTGTATATTGTTAATAAGACATATTATTTCTGTTTAAAATAGGGCTAAGGGAAAATTCTAAGTGTCCAAAATCTGGTATGGAACCAGGGTCATTGATACACCTGTTGTGGAGATGCCTGAAAACTAAAATGTGATTGGCAAGAGATATTGGATGAAATGTACATAATCTATGGGATACGAATTATGAATAACCCCTTGACATGTATACTGGGCGTATGTGTAACCCTGAATATAGAATACTATAAGAAGCTGGCCATAACAAGAGCCCTCTTTGTGGCTTGTCGAATTATAGTATGTAAATGGATTGACAGTGACACCTACCATAGGGGAGTGGAGGAAAGAACAAGGGAAAGTGGTTATACATGAGAAAATAATGTCAAAGCACCGGGGCACCCTAGATAACCATTGGAAGATGTAAGAAAAATTGAATATATATATAACGCCAGTGAATCAACATAATATGGGAATTCTAATGTAATTAGATGAATATATATAAGGAAAGAGTGTGATCGACTGTATCTAATGTGCAAGTGGTTCTCCATTGATGCATAAGTATATGATTATACATCGAGCTGTCTTTCCTCCCTTCCTGACATTTTTTTTTTTTATTGTGGTTGGCATGTGTTGATTTTGTTTTAACTATTTGCTTTGATTGAGAATAATTGTCATATAAATGTTTGTATGTTTCTTTAAAAAATGGTGTAATAAAGAATATTAAATTTAAAAAAAATAATATCTATAGAAAAGCCTTTGAAAGCTGCAAACTCCTGGAATTTCACCCATACACTATTAAACGTTTATTCATACTGCTTTTCCTGGAATTAAGCAGGGTATTTATAACATTGCTGGATGAAGCAATGCACCTTGGGTTAACAAATTCCTTAATGCTGGCAGAGGAAGAGGAACTTTCACGGCCAGCTGACGGAGAAGAAGGTACCATGGCCGCCTGGGCCACGAAACCTCTAGTATCAAGATTCTGTCTTTGATGAGTCTCTTCAAGAGGCTGAGCTGCCAGCACTAGCTCCGTCCCTCTCTTGTGATGTCAGCAGCCCAACGCACATGCATTGTACGAATGGTGGAATGCATCCTAAGCACTTCACCCAACGGCATCCAGAAGAAAGCCACAGGGGAAGGAAGTAGTCACTAGGCAACAGTGGAACGCTGTCATGGTCCCACCCTGACTTAATTGGTTTGCAGCATTCTGGCTTGGCTACCATTTCACCCACCTGTGATTCCTCCTTTGTCTGAGCGGACTGTTTAATGTTGCTCACTACTTCCAGCAGGGATCCCACCCTCAAATAAGTAATTTCAGGGAGGTGCCCTTCTCATTTCAGGAAGGTGGACCCCCCTGAAATGATGGCAGATAGCAAAGAAGCGAATGCTTCCCTTGCTAACTGCTGTTTTTTTTGTATTCTGACAGCTACTGCCGTCAGAATAAAGAAAAACAAAAAAAAACACAGCATAGGAATGAATAGCTAGATTGCTATTTCAATTTGCAATAGCCAATAGCAAGCTGGCTATTGCACCCGCTCTCTGCTGCTGTCAGTCAGTAGTGGAGGACCTGATGGAGAACTTCAGGTCCACCTCTGCTGATTGACAGCAGCAGTGGGCGGGTGCAATAGCTAGTCTGCTATTGGCTATTGCAAATTAAAATAGACAATAGCAATCTAGCTATTCGGTCCTATGCCGTTTTTTGGGGGTTTTCTTCTGACTGAAGGCATCCGGCTGCTCCGATGTCAAGAAAAAAAAAACATAGAGCAGAGAAAGGTTTACTCTGCTAGATAAAGCAGGGTAAACCTGTCCAGGAGCTGCTATCTTATAGTGGGAGACTCCTGGAACATTCGGGATAGTTGTGATGTCTGTCCCAGGCTCCCTCTTATGGCCAAACAGGGAGCATCATCTGAGAGAGCCAGATGGGAGTTTCCTGTCTCTGAGTGATGATGTCCTCCCACTCAGTATTTAAACCACTGAGTCCAGTCTGACCTTGCCCTTGCGTGGTCATACCCTGCTTGTGCATTCCTGCTGCTCAGTGTATCCTGATTCCGTGTATGACCCGATCTTGGCTGACGTTCTCCTCTGGTTCCTGCTCCTGGCTTGTTCCTGACAAAGCTGATTTCTGGTTCCTGCTTTTGGCTTGTTCCTGACAACGCTGATTTCCGTGTTCCTGACCTGGTTTGTCGGACTACCTAGTCCGGCTCCTGACCTTGGCTTGTTCCTGTTTATGATGTTTGCTTGCTCCTGTGGACACATTTCTTAATAGAGTATTTTTAACTAGCACCTTATGCTTGTCTGGTTTTCAATGTGCTCTGATAAACGCCTAGGATGCACTTCAAACACACGCCAGCAACCACATTTTAGAAACTAAGGCATGCTTCCCCCAAACCTACTTCTGACCCGGGGAATGGCACAGCCACCCTCTCAGATGCTGGGCATTGCCCAGGCTAGGCATGCCCCAGTAACCAACAGCAAGTCTACTTTAGACTTGACTTACTGTGAGGACCGCACCCAAAAGAGACTAAATGCTAAATGGGATTTACCCCAGCCAGGTGCTGGGTAGGTATCAAATTTATTTTTTATGGTCCCATCAGATTAGAGGAGGGAGGGGCACATACGCATGTGTGTGCTGACATGGAGCTGTCAGGAAAAACTCCTATGTAGCAGCTTACATGAGAGCTTAAAGGAGAACTATGAGGTGAGTGCTTTTCACTCACCTCATAGTTCTAGCCGACCTGTGACAATGAGACTGTCACAGGTCGGCTTAGTAGATCGGGAGGTGAGCCAACACATACCGGCGTTCGCTCCCCTCTCGATCCGTGACGGCTCTCTGCCGTGACAGGGGAGGGGCTGGATTCCCCCCTCCCTGCTCCGATCCGCCAGCGCTTACTGGCGGAACGGATGGGGGAGGGGGCGGGTACAGCTGGCTCTGCCTCTAGAGAGGCAGAGCCAGTTGTCAGTCACGCAGCTGGGTGGATCCAGACATAATTGTCGGGATCCGCTTCAGCTGCGGCGTCTCAGTATACCGCGAGCAGCAGCGTCTCAGTATACCGCTAGCAACAGCTCGCGGTATACTGATCCTAGGGTGACGGACGCTTGTTTGTGTCCTCCCGTTACACTAAGGAGAACTATGGGGAAAAGCCTTAACCCCGTAGTTCTCCTTTAAGCAGAAAATAACCATCAGAATTTTGTAGTGTGAAATTTTATCTGTCATTTTGGGTAGAGTAGGAGAAGGTTATAAACCCTGTCAGTTTTTGTTTTCTTTTTGTTTCCCATTGGGGGAGATTTTCCTTCATTTCCTGTCCCGTAGCCACAACAGAAAGTGATAAATCCCTCCAAAATGAGGGTAATCCTCACCAGGGTCACCAGAACTAGTGTCTCCATTGGAATATTCTATTCCTTTTCTGGTAGCAACTCAGAATTTGGGATTTCACTTTCCCTCAATAACAGTCACCAGGACAAATAGAAAGAGTGAATCCACCTAATAGGGACGCAGACAACAAGAAAAACCTGACAGTTGCTCTAATCCTTCTCCATTCTATTCAAAATTAAACTAAATAGGAATCTCGTAGTGGTAACAGATATATTAATAATGTATGCATTATACATTAAAACAGTGAAAAAGCTGGCCATACATGGATTCTAGATGAACTGGCCGAAATTCGTTCCATTGGTTACCCTGACAGCCTCCCACCTGACATCATTCAATATGAAAATTGTTCACCGAACAGTGACTGAATCCAATTAACTGCAATAACTGTTCATATATGAACATGGCAGGTACCGGCTGTCAGAATACAAAAGCCATAGCAGGGGATTTGTCTGTTTAGTGTGGATGGAGGAATTTGTTAGCATACAGCGAGCTAAAAGTGACGCTAAACTCAGGAGTTAAATCTTAACTGTGGCACAATTTGCTGTCCGGGGAATTTTCTTACTATTTGCGCACACATGATAAAATATACATTTTTGGCTAGAAAACAGCTTCAACCCCCCCAAACGATGATATATGTTCTGAAAGCAGAGGCCTGTAGAATAAAAAAATGCTAGTTGCAATTTTTTATGTTGCACGGTTTTTGCGCAAATGTTTATCAAACCAGTATTTTTAGGGAAAAATAAACTGAATTAAAATGTAGTGCACAGAAACATAATATAATACCCAATTTTTGGGTAAAATAAAAAAAGACGGGGTCACGTCAGGTAAAAAGATACCAAACATGCCAAGCCTTAAAATTGCGTTCGCCCGTGAAGCTGCAAAAAAAGTCAATACCCCAAATTACCCATAGGAACACTTTAAATGCTTTTACTGCTCATCAGTTTAGTACTAACAGTGATTGATGGCCCTAGAATTATCTCTCTCACTCCGACGTTCGCGGCGATATGTAACATGTGTAGCACAATTGTCGGTTTTCGTACATAGGCGCACGACGCGTGTTTGCATGTGTATGTGCGTGCACGTGGAGGGCAAGGGACTTAAAATAAATTTGTTTGCATTTTTTTATTTTTCTTATATGTTACTTTAATTTTTATAATTTTTAAACACCTTTTTTTTTTACAATTTCCCTATTGCCATCACATAGGAAGCTAACAAGCTCCCTATGTAATAGCAGATAGGGTGTGACAGGTCCTCTTTATGGAGACATCTTTCAGACCCTTAATGTCACCTAGGGACCCCAAAAAAGCTGAGGAAGCAGAGATCTGCTTCCCCAGCTTCATCTCCTAAGAGCCGGAGACTGTAAGAGTGACACCAGAAGAAGTGATGTAATACACATCACGTCCGGGTCCAGTGATCGGAGGAGAGATGAATCTCTATCCAATCATTGCGTGTAGACCCCCTGAGCCGCGTGTGTTTGAAGCATGGGGATAGGGGTGCCCGGGAAAGCCAAAGGCGGCTGCGGCGCGCGCACGGGGGGTGGTTGTGGGGCATTGCACGGTACAAACAAACGATCCGGCGGCTGGTACAAGTGGATCACTTGTACATTGACAGCAATCGCCTGCTGTTAATAGCAGATCTTGTTTTAACCACTTATGCGGGCCGCCGTCTATAGACGTATTGCAGTCTGGAAGTGGTTAAAAATGCATTCAAGTACCCCCCTCCCCGCTCCAATCCACCAGCGCTGACTGGCGGAACGGATGGGGAGGGGGTAGGTACAGCTGGCTCTGCCTCTAGATAGGCAGAGCCAGCTTTCACTCACGCAGCTGGGCGGATCTCGACATCGATGTTGGGATCCGCTCCGGCTGCGGCGTCTCAGTATACCGCGAGCTGTAGCTCGCGGTATACTGAGCTTAGGGTGACGGGAGGACGCTAGTTTGTGTCCTCCTGTTACCCTAAGGAGAACTATGGGGAAAAGCCCTGACCCCATAGTTCTCCTTTAAATGCATTTTTTAAATTTAACTCCTGAGTTTAGTGCCACTTTAAGTTTTAAGACTATGGAGCTGTAGTCCAGTGGTAAGTTCTGTGAAACACGACACTGCCTAGCATGTTTGTTTTAAAGCCATTGCACAATAACCTTTTCATTGATTTGCTTTCCTGTAAAAGTTACAAAAATGTAGTCTCTCAGACAGCTTACGTTACGTCACGTCACGTCACGTGTTCAGGAAGTGAAAATGTTGAAATGTACTTTCAGTTATACACTCTATTGTAAAACAGCAGTTTACAGAGAGGAAGCAGGTCTAAACTACAGCAAAAATGGACGTTTTTGTCAACATTGGCATAGGTTTAAAATAGTTTGCCTTCTCCTGTGATAGAAACTTTGTAAGGTAAGAAGTTTTATTTGGTAGATTTCCATTTCTGATGTATATATCTGATTATAGTTATGTTGCCTGAGTCTCCCTCCCGCAGACGCCACTGTAAGTGTCCCTTCCAGCTTCTCCAGACTGCAGCTTCCTTCCGTGCGTTAACTCAGTTGAACCACTCTTTTTTAAAACAAAGCATTAAATGAGCTGAATAACAATGTATTAATGAGCTGCAGCAGGGTGCTGATGAATTGCAGTTCCCAGTCAGCATTAAATTGGTTAATTGGGAAATTGTGCAGTAACAGTATTTCCCTTTAGTAAATCTGTTAGTCATGTAATGATGAATGACAGAAAAAAATACAGTATCAGTACAAGCCGATGGGGACAGGGGCCTCTTCCCCACAACCCTGACGCGGTGGTTGTGGGGCTCAGCGCGCAAGGGGGCTTATTTGCATCGGGGTACCCCTTTAAATAATGATAACGCCCCCCCCCCATGTGAATGAGTAAGGGGTTCACTATTCACTAAAGTGTTAAATCAAATAGTTAGTAAAAAGTCCAGACTTTTGACAAAATCCTTTAATTGAAAAAAACTGTCAATTTTTGACTATTCCTTTAATAAAAAAATTTTAAAAAATGGCTCCATCGATGTAATTGAGAGGGGGAAGAAAGAGCCAGTGAGGATTTTCTTTATCTGAATGTTGTATATACTGTATAATCATGTGGTAAAAAAAAGTCCGTAATCCAAAGGGTTACTACCAGCACATGTAGTGCGGCACGGTAAAACTGCTTGTTTGATAATAAAAGCTTGCTAATTTAGATAAAATTCCGGGGGTTAATACTGGCAAAAACATGAGTATTTTAGTGGCATGCTTTAATAGTGACAGGCCAACAGGGGTTTAGTTATAGTAATATGGTCCTCCCAATGACTTGTCAATACGTAGGCAAAAAAAGGCAACCATGACAAAACATAGGCCTCAAATTGGTAATTGTGTACAATACACAGATAACAAACAGTCAGTTGTTACTAGACATGTGCAGCGGCTAAAAATTTGTTTTGTTTCGGATTTCGTTTATTTTGTTTTTGGAATTCGGATCCCATATGTGTTTTGTTTCGGGATTCGGATTCGTATTTGGATCTGATTCTGGATACATGTCCAATTCGGAATTTGGATTCAGTTTCGGAATTCGGATTCGGAAATTCGGATTGGGAATTCGGACGAATTCTCGAAAATTCAACTTGAGGTGGGGTAGCAGAATTGGCACATTTGTCATTTCTGGTTGCTGTGCTGTAGTCTTTACTATTAAAGGGACATTAAAATCCTTCTCTTAATTTGTTTTTATCCGTTTAAATGTTAACAGTGCACGCACAGGATTTGGACGAAATTCGTTCCAAATCCGAAATGTCGGATTCGTAATGTCGGATTCGGATGCTTTCGGATGATTTCGGATATGTTATATTTTGGAAATTCGGATGCTCCGAATCTACGAATTTTCGATTCGGAACGAAACGAATCGCACACGTCTAGTTGTTACAATATGTGGTCAGCAATTTTTCAGTCACTACAATAAGCAAGCAGCAAATGGCTATTCGTAACACTCTATGGGCAACAAATGGGTGATCCTGAAAATGTGGGTAACAAATGGGCAATAGTGAAAATGTGCACGCAACAAATGGGCAGAATATATGGACAACAACTAGGCACTGACAGTATACAGGCAAAAAACAGGCAATTGTTGACAATTTGCAGGTAATAAATTGTCAATCACGACAATATGGAGACAGAGAACAGGCAACTTACCTAACAACAACCTAACAAAGTATTACTTTCTCAAACAACTCATCCCTTTTGTATCTACCAACTTTTGCATCACTTGCCCCTCCCTTTTAGATTGTAGGCGCTCAGGGGCAGGGGCCTCCTAACTATCGTGTCTCAAATTGTAACTGTACTGTCTGTCTTCCTTTACATTGTAAAGCCCTGTGCAAACTGTTAGTGCTATATATATCCTGTACAATAATAATACGCAGGCATAACACGGGCAATCATGATAATATGCGGACAACACATGGGCAATTATGACATTATGTGGCTAAAAATTCCTTCTCCCTCCCCCTTAATAAAATAAAATAAAATCCTTATCCAACCTCCATCCCAAACCACAAAAATCCCCCCTCCCCCAGAACCCTTCCCCAGCACCACACCTCCCCTCCCCACCATGTGAAATTTTTCTCTCCTCCAGCAAACTTCCCCCGTTAAAATCCTTCCTCACACAGCAACCCCCACTACCACCACCACCACAAGAAATCCCCCTCCCGGTTTAACAGAACACCTCACTCCCAGCCTACCTCTGTGTCATATGACAAGTCAGAAATGAAGAGAGACCTAGGAAAGCTTCCCTCAGTTATGCACCACTCTGCCCAGCACATTACCACTATGCTGAAGCACATGCAGAGCTGTGAGCAACGTGACCCATGGCTGTGCAGGAACACCAGATAGCAGTAAAATGCTGGCTACAAATGGACCAGAATCTGCCAGAATCTGCAGATAATCTAGGAGCTTGGCGGGGGGTGGGGGGGGGGGGGGGGGGGTGAATCTCAAAAGATTTGGGCAACATTATGGAATACCAGCAGAGGGAAGTGAAAACCCAGGTGCCTTCCAAACAAAATGTGTAAACTCTCATGTCTGGATAGTGCCAGGGGCCTTTAAAACACTCTTGCCATGTCTGTTTTAACCAAAGTGACTATTTTGACATAAGTATCCGAGCAAGGCACTTTGACTAAGGCAGAAACAAGAAAATATCTGCAAACTGTCTCCTAACAGACTGCAGGTGATCTTGTCTTTTCCCATCCAGCTGTTTTTCTACTCTGTTCTGCTACTGACTACCTGACAAAATCTCTACCTTGCCTTGATCCGAACACCCCTGTCTACAAAGGCTCGCTCTGATCCTCCCTGGACACCTGTTCCCCTCAGCACACACAGAATTAGGCCCTGTTCCCTACAACCTTGGCAAGCAGATGACACAAGAAATCTGAAAAAACAGCCACACTCTTAAGTGCTTAAGCCTTAAAATTAGGTCCCTGCAGGACCTTGCCTTGTATCCTGTGCCAGGGCTGCCAAACAGGCCTAATTCTTCACTCTCATTAACACCCTCTCATCCAGTTCTCATCAAGTAACTTCTACCTTTAACTCTCTACATTGTTCCACAGTGCCTCCACCCACTAACTCATTTACTGCCAAAAACATTGTCAATCAATTCAAACACAGGATAAATGCAGCTTGTCAGATCTCCTCTGTCCAGTTTTCTCTCCCAATTGTCATAGCATGTTTACCACCACATTCAAAATATTCCTCTTTTGACTCTGTCACTACAGAGGAGGTTGCTAAACATTTCTCTGACATGCACGTTACCTTCTGCCCCCTGGACCTCACTCCTTGCTCCAGTTTACTGCAGAACTACTAGAACACCTAGTCTGCAACTGTATGAGCTACTATCTCACTGATAACATTCGTCTCAACCCCTTGCAGTCTGGATTTACCCACAACATTCCACAGAAACTGCCCTCCTAAAACTCACCAATGACTTACTAACTGCTAAATCCAATGGCTGGTACTCAGTACACTTGCTAAAAGACTTTTCTGCTGCATTTAACACAGTTGAGCACCCGCACCTCCTCAATAAACTCCACTCCATTGGCTTCCATGACCTCTGCTTTTCCCTGGTTTTCCTCCTACCGATTTCGGCACTCCTTCAGTCTATCTCTCCAATCCTCAGCTCACCTCTTCAGTCTCCTTGCACATCACTAACTTACTAACTGACATATCAGTATAGATGTCACCACTTTTTATCTTTAAAAAATTGAGCTAATGATGTTTCTATAGGGGCCATCTCTCAATCTCCTCTGATAAACGAACCTGGAAGTGCTCAGGTTCAGAGCTGTAAAAGCCGGTAAAATGTGGCCAGGAGGCAGCTGACTGAGTATAGTCTGTACAAGATGGACTTGAATGCAGTGCAGAGAAAGCATTAGGGATCGAATAGAGCCCTAACATCTCCAAAAAGAGGATCTGTAACAAAAATGTACAATCACATAGGGGGCTTGCCAGCCTTCTTGTTAAATAAGTAAAATTAAGTCACAATAAAAAAATAAATGTTTATAAATCAGTTGAAAAAAGGGAAAAACAATGTAGAGTGTCCCTGACCCCACACACATAAAAAAAATGCCCTGCACACATATGTAAGCAATGATTAAACAGTACATATTAGTTATTAGGATACACACCGGAGAGAAATGACTAATTCTAGGGCCATTATTTATGGTTAACTCTAAAATGAAAATTTGAGTACAGTATTTTGTTACCATTTTGCGGCCACCTGCAGTTGTAAGTTAACCCTAAATAAGTGAGGTTGAATAAAGACAAAGGTCTTTCCAGTTCAACCTATGAGTGTATGCATGCATGTGTCTGTATATACAGTAAACTCTGTTAAACTGTATTCATATAAGCTGCAAAACAAATCCAGCACTCACTGTTATGCCGATACTCTGCGATCTTGTAGGAGACAGCCAGGGGGAACCTGTCACTGTAGGAATGTTGGCTGTGCTGTGTGTCTCCGCTCCGGTTCTCTGTTCTGTCTACTCAGAATGTAAATAATCTTTCCTCTGCACTGTTGCCGGGCTCCACTGTGGAATGAGATCTCTGAGAGCTGCTCTGTCCCCCTTTAGCCCGGCCACATAATTCTGTGCTGCTGGCTAATTCAGGGAGAGGATGTATACAGGAATGGGGGGAAGAATGGCACAGTACAGGAGGGAAGGTATTACAGCATCTGTATTACAGCTTACAGCACCTGTATTATTGGAAGTATGCAAGAGGCCTGAGAAAGGTGAGAGTCGTGCGGTGCTAATAAAGGAATTCAATATTGGTTCGTCAGCAGTCTATGACATTAAGTTAAGTGTGTCTATTTGTCTTATTTTTTTTTTTTTTTTTTTTTAATTACTGTATTTCAATATTAATATGAAGTCAAAACAGAGTTTATTTTATGGTATGGGGTATAGCATTAGTTAGGCCTATTTTTAATAGTGTCACGTACCTGGTAAGAGACCGGAAGGTGAGGAAGCTTCTCTTGCGACTCGTTTCCCTCTGCCCCTGGAGGTGAAGATAGGGAGCAGATGGACAGTGAGGAGCACGAGTGCCACTGATGGTAACCGACACCGTGCAGGAGACGTCCCAATGGCGTGTAGTCAACAAGCCGGAGGTCCACCAAGCAGATGGTAGGAAGCAGGAACAGGAGGCAGGAGGGAGGTCAGGGAAGCCAGAGGTCGGAGCCAGCCGGGCGGGAGAGTAGAAAAATCAGGAGGCAAAGGCAAAGTCCAGAAACAGGCCGAGGTCAGGGGTAGGCAGCAATCCAAATAGCAAAGTCCAAAACAATCTGGGTCAGGCAGGTCACAGGAATCAAACAGGAACAAGCACATAGGTACTCAAGCTGAAAAGACCATCAGCAAAGGAGCAGCTTTATCCACATAATAGCATCACTTCCTGTGTTTCCACGCACTTCCAGTTTGCCGCACAATATGTTACGCCACTGCGCACAATGGCACGTTTTCTGGCCACATGGAGATCTGGCTTGCGCGCATGCACAGCCGCCATTTTGTCCTTACAACTGGTAACTCTCAAGCAACCAGAAACTACATTTATCCGGAATCTACCAATCCCCGTGAATGCTAGATAACGGGGAGTTTACTGTATATGGCGCTAACACTTTCCATATCCTTGTATATGTATTGAACTAGAAGTTCCTTGAATTTATCAATGCTATCTGTGCCTGTGGAAGGGAATTCCACATTTTTAGTATGTGCACAGTGAAAAAAAACCTTTCCCTGTCTAAGATTAAACCCCCTCTCTTCTAAGCTCTTGTTGTACCCTTGTGCCCTTCATATAGTTCTCGGTGTAAATAACTTGTTCCGAATAATGTGGTCCCCATTGATGATTTTTAAGATTGCAATAAGGTCCCCTCTTAAGCGCCTCTTTTCTAAGGATAATACATTTAATTGCTGGAGGTGGTCATCAAAACTCAGGCCTGCTATCCCTTTAATTAATCTTGTAGCCCTTCTCTGAAGTCACTCAAGCTTGAGGACATCTTTCCTGAGGGTTGGTAACCACAAATGCACCACATACTCAAGATGAGGCCGAACCAGTGATTTATAAAGTGGAAGTATTATTCTTTTATACCTTGCTAAAATCCCTCTTTTAATGCAGGACAGTATCATGTTTGCTTTGCTGGACGCATTGTATACTATTGCCAAATCTGTGATCTATGAGAACCCCCAGGTCTTTTTCCTTGTCTGACTTCCCTAATGTAGCACCCCCCAAGTAGTTTGCGCACACGTTCTTTGCTCCAAAGTGCATAACTTTGCATTTTTCAATATTAAATTACATTTGCCATCTTGTAGCCCATGCCTCAATTTTATTTAGGTCTTGTTGAAGTGCATATACAGTATCTCCTGTTCGGAGTTTACTAGCCTACACAGTTTAGTATCTTCTGCAAAAACAGAGGTTTAACTTTTATGTTTATGAATTAAATGTTTGTGGGTTACTGTATCGAATGCTTTAGCAAAGTCCAGATACACCATGTCTACTGGTATTCCTGTCTAAATTAATACTGACTTACTCATAAATGTTAATAGATTGGTCTGACATGAGCAGTCCTTCATGAAGTCATGTTGGTTGCTACTTTTGATACCAGTTTTATTCGCAAATTCCTGCATGTAGTCCCTTATCATGCCTTCGAATATTTAGCACACTATTGATGTTAAGCTGACTGGTCTATAGTTACCCGGTGTATTTTGTTTCCCCTTTTTGTTTATTGGTACCACATTCACTTTGTGCCAATCATCGGGTACCATCCCTGTCATTAGAGTGTCCATCGGGCGGGGGAGGTCCGGCCTGGTTAACGGATTGTAGAAGAGATCTGGCGGCAGCTGAGCCGCCAGAATTGCTTCTACTGTAAAGTCAGCCACCGGCTCTACAAAACTGAACAGACTCCCAGTGGTTAAAAGCCGCTGGGAGTCTGTTCAACTCCTTCAAACTTCATGACGAGATTATCCCGTCATGAGTCGTGAAGGGGTTAAAGATCCAAGACAAGACTGGGTTTCAAGATCAAGGCAAGACAGGGATTCAGGATCAGGATACAGGCTTGTTTAGACAGAACAAAGCAAGACAAGAATGAAACTATCACAAGCCCAGAGCCCTGGGCTTGTGATGCTTAAATAGAGCACAACTAACTAACGCCCAGGCTGTGAGGGGCGTGTAGCCAGGCTGATGGAGCTGAGTGGCTGTAACAGGGATAGGAGCATTTGACATGCTCCTAATATGCATTCCTTGTAGTTTTTAAACACCAATGGGGACCCCTCTGACATATACTTTTTAAAGGCCTTATCCTTTGTTGTGTTGTTTTACTTTGCTAGTTAACCACCCTGGTCTAACTTTTGCTGTTTTAAATTTATTGGTAAATGGAATGCACTGGCCAATTGTTTTTTAAGATGTCCTTGAAAGTTGCCCATTTGTCCTCACTAGAGGTGCACTGAAATGAAAATGTTAAAACTGAAACGAAACCGAAATGAAAAAAAATGTCGGGTCGAAACCAAAACGGAAAATGTTTTTTTTCTAACTTTGTAACTTGTTTTTCTAAACAAGTTAGGTAAATACACACCAAACATGTCAAGCTTGTACTCCTGTATATTACGGTCCCTGGGGAAATCGTCCAATCGCCTATTGATTGATTCCACACTCTCGGCCGAAATCACAGCATGTGGCAGCGAGTTCCAGACCTTGACTGATCTAACTGAGAAGGAACCCCTTCGCCCCTTGCGTCCTTGTCATCGAGTTAATTGTAAAAAGTTTGCTGCTAATGTTACTATCCCCGGTAAACATTTTATACATCAAAATCATGTCCCCCCTTAATCTCCTTACTTCCAAGGAGAACATGTTCAATTTTAGTAGCCTGTTCTCATAGCTCAGGTCCTCCATCCCCTTTATGAGTTTGGTTGCCCTCCTCTGGACTCTTTCCAGTTCAAGGACATCCCCTCTATTTACTGGTGCCCAAAACTGGACCGCATGCTCCAGATAAGGCCGAACCAGTGATCTATAAAGTGGCATAATTACGGACTTGTCCCTGCAAAACATTCCCCTCTTAATACAGGAAAGGACTCTACTTGCTTTGTTTACCGCAGCCTGACACTGCAAGCTATTATTCAGCCTGTGGTCTACAATGACCCCCAAATCTGTTTGCCTTTCTGACTTTCCGAGGGGAGCTCCCATTAGTGTGTAATCCGTTTTCTTGTTTTTAACCCCAAAGCGCATAACTCTACATTTATCTACATTAAACCTCGTCTGCCATGTGGTTGCCCACTCCCCTATTTTAGCCAGATCCCCCTGTAATGTTATAGCGTCAGATTCAGTGACTATTCCCCTACAGCTTCCTAGAGCTTACTGCAAACGTTATCATTCTATGGCCACTGTACCCTCGGTTATCCCCGATTTCCAAGTCTGCAATCAGCTCTGTGTTGTTTGTAATTAATAAATCCCACAGAACATTTTTTCTAGTTGGGGTTTCCACCAATTGTCCCATAAAGTTATTTCAGAGAGTGTTCAAGAAGTGACGGGCCCTTCTTGAGTTTGCGATTTTATTTGCCCAATCTATATCCGGATAATTAAAGTCCCACATAATAATGTCATTGCCTTGCCTTCCTGCTACTTCTATCTGTGACAATAGTTGAGTCCCCTTCTCCTTCCCAATGTTTGAAGGCCTGTAGCATATTCCCAGTAATTTTGCTTTTTGTTTTGCATTCATTTTCATTTCTATCCATAGTAATTCAGCATTGATCCCACTCTCCTGTGCTATGCCATCACCAGGGGCGGACTGGGCCGGGGGGCAGGGTGGCAATTGCCCCCCGGGCTTCTCTGATACCACCACAAACGGCCCCTTGACCTGCGCTGCCACCTGCACCCGGCCG